AATTAACTGCAATCCCACTGGCTTTTTCTTCTTCCTACTTTCAAGACATTTGGGGGATAGGATATTTATACAACCTATAGCCCTAATGCAATCCTGTAAATACTATTAGTGGTAAAACTTGCCTTTGTAAAATGAGTCATTAAATTTTCTACATGAGGGAAAGTCTGGTTCTCAAAAGAAAATATGATGAATGTCTCACTCATCATTCATGTGGGTAAGTTCTGAGGAATGCACTGAGGTTCTTTGGAAGTGTAATGTAAGAAATAAAAGGAAGTTGCGAAATAGCTTGTTCATGCCCGCTGAAATATGTTGAATCAATGTGCAACCATTTGTTATTAAATTATTTTATGAATTAGAAATAGGAAGGTAGTTAGAATATAGTCATAGGGATGTAAAGCACAGCATATAATAACTAAGTATGGTGTCAGGTAGGTACAGGAAATATTGGGGGAAACACTTTGTAAAGTATGTGATTGTCTAATCACTATGCATACCTGAAACTAACGCAAAATAATATTGAGTGTAAACTGTAATTGAAAAATAAAATAACATAAAAAAAATCAGAACAACAACAAAAAGAAATGGAATGTTATTTTCTTAACATTTGAAAGATTGACAAATTCTAAACAATGTTGAGGGTCATACTGTATAGTGAAACACAAAACATGTCCTTATTAAAAATGAGTATGAAATAACTGCAATTACTTTCACAATTCTTACTTAATGCTTTGGGAGTTCTGTTGCTTTACCCTCTAATCTTTGAGCTCACTCTATTTTATTCATGTTCATTATCACAGTCTTCCATACAGCAGGCATTCATGGAAAAGTTTTTAAAAAAATTTTTGCCTGGTTTATATTTTTCACTTAGGCTGAGTTCCTGGCTCCTCTTTAGCATATTGTATCTGTTTCTTTTTTTGTTTTTCTTTAGCACACCAGACCGATTCTAGCTGGCTTGTGTTGAATGTGACCAGCTCTTCTTAAACCTTCAGTTCTCTCTGAGACTGTGAGGATGAATTCTCTCTGACTTCCACCCCTGATATTGCACGCTTCACTTCCAGATGACAGGGTAGAGCTAACATTCTGCTTCTATCCATTCTTCTGAGCCTGAGGGAAGAAAAGGTAGGAGCAGACTGTGTTGCATCACTTGAATCTTACTTCCTCTTCTGAAATAATAGTAAATATCCAGTACCAGGAATTAATTCATCATGTTGGCCATGCATCCTGCTTTCATGGTGGAATACCTCCAGATTCCTGGTAGTTCCCTGGGGCATTCCTGTCTCTACTGATCTTGAAATTGAGGCCTGATAAGTATTTCCTTAGGCTGCTTACTTACCTGCTGAGTCTGTTTTTCTCAGGTTGGGAAGTATTTGTGAAAATGATACTGATAGACCGTCTATCCAGACCACTGGGAGCAGACTGAAGGTGGGAAACAGGAGGGGCTCCTGGGAGATCATGAACTGCCCAGGGACATGGCTAGACAGCACCAGGTCCTGTGAGCTGGGGCCTTGTTGCCTGAGGTAAATGAGTGCCTGCTAGGAAAAAGCCCTCCTGTCCCTTTCTGGTACCAGATTGGGGGTGCAACTAGGGGAAGGGAGGCACATATGCAACAGAAGTTAAAATGGCAGCAGGGGGAGGTACTGGACCAAAGAGGCTTGTCAGTCTAGCCAGGGAAAGATCAGATTGGGTGGGAGGCGGACCCACCCAAAGTACACGAGGGTTTGGGAAATTGGTTGCTGGTTCTGTGGAAAGCACCTGGTCTGTCCCACACCCAAAACTACTATAAACCTAGGAGACAAAGAACTCTCTCTAGTTCATGGCTTACTGCTTGGTGCTGCAACTTGGATGGTACACTGCAGTCACATGGCCCATGGCCTCCAGGAGGGAGTCTCTCTCTCTCCTATTGACCTGGTGAAGTATTCGCCAGTGCCTTTGTCTGCTCTCTGGCCTGAGAGCATGGGACCTTACAGTCCTAGAAGCCACATGGCCAAGAGTGGTGCCAGTTCTACACAGAGCTTCCAGCGGGGAACCTGAAGTTAGACAACTGCTGGGGACAAGATATACTAACCAGGTGACCACTCAGTAGTTGCTTTGGGCTCTGAAGGATAGTACTTTAAAGTAGAGCAGAAAATTTTGTTTTGGTCTTGCTAAGGACCGTTGTGTTTCATCTGGGTTTTGTAGAGCTTTGAGACGGGGAGTTCCCCACTCTCCCACATGTTCAGCATTCAGATAAAACCCCTTTTCCTCTCTTACCAGCCCCTGCCTCTAGTTTGCCTTTTGGTGACAGTGGTCAGCCAAACCTCACTTTGGTTTGGTAACAAGAACTCTAAGGAATTTGTCCAACGCCCTTCTTTCCTTGGTACAGTCATAAGAAATCTCAGGAATTTTCCCAACTCCCTTGGTACTGAGCTAGGAGGCTGTAGTGGGAAGAGAAACAATCATTTGATCTGCCAGAATCGCTTGTTTCTTTCCTCAATAGCCATGTTTTGAAATTTGTAACTTGTAGTTATACTACTTTTCTTATTCTGTTCCTTGTGGTGAGTTTTTAGAGGTGTTAGTTTTGTTTTTATTTCTGTTGCTATGTGTTATACACTCTGTGGATTTGGACAAATGCTAGAGATGTGTATCCTTTATTACAATATCATATACAGTATTTTTACTTCCCTAGAAATCTCTGCACTCCACTTATTCTCCCCTCAGCCCAACCCCTGGAGACCATTGATCATTTTACTGTCTTTATAATTTTGTCTTTTCCAGAATGTCATGTAGGTGGAATCGTACAGTATATAACCTTTCTTATATTGGCTTGTTTTAGTTAGTAATATGCATTTATGATTCCTCCATGTCTTCTCATGACCTGCTAGCTAATTTCTTTTTTCCCTCAACTATTTATATATGTATGTATGAATGTATGTATGTATGTATTTATATTGTTGAAGCACAGTTGCCTCCATTTTCCCACCACCACTTTCCCCGGCCCACCCACATCCACCTCCCATCCTCAATCGTTCCCTGCTTTGGCTTTGTCCATGTGTCCTTTAAACATGTTCCATGATGACCCTTCCCCTTCTCTGCCCCATTATTCCCCTCCCCTCTAGTTACTGTCAGTTTGTTCTTTATTTCAATGTTGCTGGTTATATTTTCCTTGCTTGTTTACTTTGTTGATTAGGTTCTACTTATAGGTGAGATCATGTGGTATTTGCCTTTCACCACCTGGCTTATTTCACTTAGCATAATGCCCTCTAGTTCCATCCATGCTGTCCTGAAGGGTAATAGCTCTTTCTTTCTGCTGTGTAGTATTCCATTGTGTACATATACCATAATTTTTTGATCCATTCATTTACTGATGGGCATGTAGGTTCCTGCCAACACTTGGCTATTGTATATTGTGCTGCTATGAACATTGGGGTGCATAGGATCTTTTGTGTTGGTGTTTTGGTGTTCTTAGGATATAATCCCAGCAGTGGGAATTGCTGGGTCAAAAGGTAGTTCCATTTTTAGTTTTTCGAGGAAATTCCATACTGTTTTCCACAGTGGCTGTACCAGCCTGCATTCTCACCAACAGTGTACAAGGGTTCCCTTTTCTCCATAACCTCAACAGCACTTGTTTATTGATTTGTTTATGATAGCCATTCTGACTAGTAACAAGTGGTATCTCATTGTGGTTTTAATCTGCACCTGATGGTTAGTGATGTTGAGCATCCTTTCATATGTCTCTGGGGCCTCTGTATGTCCTCTGTGAAGAAGTGTCTGTTCAGGTCCTTTGCCCATTTCTTAATTGGATTGTTTGTCTTCCTGGTGTGGAGTCATGTGAATTCTTTATATATTTTGGAGATCAAACGATTGTCTGAGGTATCATTGGCAAATATATTTTTCCATACAGTTTGTTCCCTTTTCATTTTGCTGATGTTTTCTTTAGCCATGCAGAAGATTCTTATTTTGATGAAGTCCATTTGTTTATTCTGTTCTTTACATCCCTTGCTCTAGGGGACATATCAATGAAAACATTGCTGTGGGGAATATCTGAGTTTCCTACCTATCTTCTCCTCTAGGACTTTGATGGTGTTGCAGCTTATATTTAAGTCTTTTATCCATCTTGAGTTTATTTTTTTGTGTGGTGTAATTTGGTGGTCGAGTTTCATTTTTTTGCATGAAGCTGTCCAGATCTCCCAATACCATTTGTGAAGAGACGATTTTTACTCCATTTTATGCTTCTGCCCACTTTGTTTGATATTAATTTACCATAGATACATGGGTTTATTTCTGGGGTTAATTTCTTTTTATTGCTGTATAATTTTCCACTGTCTGGATGCAACACAGTTTATTTGTTTGTCCACTTACTAAAGGACATCTTGATTGCTTCCAAGTTTTAGAAAATAAATAAATAAAGCTGCTATGAACATCTGTGTGTTTTGGCTGACTTTTTAAAAATTAGGACTTTTGTCTTATTATTGAGTTGTAAGAGTTCTTTATGTATTACAAATGCAAGTCATTTATCAGATATATGCATCATGAGTATTTTCTCCTGATCTCTAGTTTCCCATTTTGTTTCCTCAGTGGTGTCCTTTGAAGAGAAAAACTTTAAATTTTGACAGAATTCAATTTATTATTTTTTCTTTTATGTTTATAGTTTCACAGTTTATGTATACATTTTTTATTATTTTAAGAAATCTTTGCTTACACCCATGTTGAAAAAACTCTCCTGTTTTCTATTTTTAATAGCCTAATTGAGATATGATTTACATACAACACAATTCACTGATTTATCATTTACAATTCAATAATATTTTAGTATTCACAGGGTTGTGCAACCATCACCACAATCTAATTTTAGAATATAAGATTTTTTTTAGTGTGGTTCAGAATTTTAGTAATTAGTTTATGAGTGCCATGAGATGAAAAAGGTTGGAGATCCTGATCTAAGCTTTTTCTTTAAGAAAATAGGACAAGCTTGCTTTCTTTGCCATCATGGTGCCTCCTGAAGAAGTTGACTCTTCTTCACCATGTCTTCTCACAACACTTTCAAGATCAAAAGCTTCCTGGCCAAGAAACAGGCAGAATTGGCCCATTCCCCAATGGATTTGGGTGAAAGCTGGCAATAAAATAAAATATGACTCTAAGAGGAGACATTGGAAAAGAACCAAAGTGGGTCTATAAAGAATTGCACATAAGAGATGGCTCACATTTATGCTGTATCCAGGTTACCCCCATGCTATGAAATCACTGAAATATTCACTACTGTCTGGCAGTTGGGCATTTTGATTGAGAAATTATTAGAATGATTTTTCTCTTTGCCATTTTTTCTGCACTAGTAGATTGGTTCAGTAATAAATATGTGAGACTTTTTTTTTAAATAAAAGAAGATAGAACAAAAAGGCAAGTTGGATACAAAGTCATTATGAGGAAGGAAATAATAAAAATAACAGTGAATTATTAACAAAATAGAAAATGGATAAACAATATAGAAAAATGAATTAGACCAAAAGTGCCTTTGTTAAAAATAAATAAATAAAACTGACAAACCTATAGCCAGACTGATCAGCAACAACCAAAAGAAAAAAAAAAGACCCACAGAAAAGCACACACACACAAATTGCCAGTATTACAATTGATAACACTACAGATTCTTTGACCTTAAAAAAAAGAAATATAATTGGATTAATTGTTGTTTTTGTTTGTTTGTTTGTTTTGGTGCTGAGTTTAAAAAAATGGACAAAGGACTTCAATAAACACTTCTTCAAAGAGGACACACAGATGGCTGACATGCAGAAAAATGCTCAATGTCACTAATCATCAGAGAAATGCAAATTAAAATCACAATGATGTATCACCTTACACCTGTCAGAATGGCTATCATCAATAAATCAACAAACAACAAATGTTGGTGAGGCTAAGGAGAAAGGGGAACCCTTCTGCACTGTTGGTGGGAATGTAGATTGGTGCAGCCACTATAGAAAGCAGTATGGAGCTACCTCAAAGAACTAAAAATGGAACTGCTTTAAAACCCAGCAATTCCACTTCCAGGAATTTATCCAAAGAAACCTAAAACACTAATTTGTAAGACTATATGCACCCCTATGTTCTTTGCAACATTATTTACAGTAGCAAGATTTGGAAGCAACCCAAATGTTTGGAAATTAAGTAGTATACTTCTAAATTAACTATAAATTAAAAAGGAGACTATAGATAAATTAGATAATAATTTGAATTGACTAAAACTAAACTAAAACTTTTATATCCAGATTTGTAAGATACAGTTAAAGTCACGCTTAGAGGACAGTGGCTGGTGTGGTTCAGTGGATTTAGCACCGGCATATGAGTCGAAATGTTGCTGGTTTGATTCACTGTCAGGGCACATGCCTGGGTTACAGGCCAAGTCCCCAGCTGGGGGTGTGTGAGCCATAACAGAGCAATGTTTCTCTCATATATCGATTTTTAAAAAAGTCATACTTAGATTAGAGGAAAATTTATACCATTAAATCTTTACAACAGAAACTAAAAATGTCTAATAATCAATGCGCTAAGCCACCAAGCACAGGAGGCACACTGGTATGCAGCACGAATTTTTAAGACATGCAATATCCTACTACTTAGTCAGGGACACTGGCTTATTTTCCCTTAGACTGTTAAATTTAAAAATGTATGTTCTCTTCGGAGAAATGTCGATTCAGGTTCTCTGCCCATTTTAAATTAGATTGTATTTTTTTTATGTTAAGTTTTATGGGTTCTTTAATTATTTTTGATATTAAGTCCTTACCAGATGTATCATGGGCAAATATCTTCTTCTATTCAGTAGATTGTCTTTATGTTTTGTTGGTGGTTTTCTTTGCTGTGTAAAACTTTTTAGTTTGATGTAGTCCCATTTGTTTATTTTGGCTTTTGGACATATCTCTCTTGTTCAAGGAGATATGTCCAAAAATGTATTGCTAAGAGCAATGCAAAAGAGTTTTTTGCTTAGGAGTTTTATAGTTTTATATCTAATATTTAAGACTTCAATCCATTTTGAATTTATTTTTGTATATGGTATAAGAAAGTGGTCCAATTTTTTTACATGTGTCTTTCCAATTTTGCCAACACCATTTATTGAAGAAGCTGTCTTTCCTCTACTGTATATTGTTGCCATTTTTTCCTTAGATTAATTGACCACATAAGTGAGGATTTGTTAATGGGCTCTCTATTCTATTCCATTGATCTGTGTACTTGCTTTTATGCCAGTACTATACTCTTTTGATTCATTGTAGCTTTGTAGTGTAGTTTGATGACAGGGTGTATGATATCTCATTGTGTTCTTTTCAAAGATTTCTTTGGCTATTCAGGGTCTTTCATGGTACCATATAAATTTTAGGATTAGTTGTTTTTTTGTTTGTTTTTGTTTTTTTGGTTTTGATGTATGTTTCTTTTTTTTGTTTTTTTCCTTTTCAAGCATTTCTTTCTTTATTTTTTAATACATAATAAAATGTTATTTTTTATAAACATTTTTATAAATGTTTATAAAAATAAAATTTTATAAATAATAAAATGGCAGAGACAAATGTATTTAAAAAAATAAAGAAAGAAAGAAATGCTTGAAAAGGATTAGTTGTTTTAATTTCAAGAAGAATACCATTGGTAATGGGTTGGCTAAAAAGTTTTTTTGTTTTTTTTGTTTTGTTTTTTTCATAAGATAGCTCTAGTAGCACTTAGTTGTCTTTAACTTCATTTGAAACAATTTTGTTAGACTGTATTGTGACAGCTGTCATATCAGGATGCATTTAAAAAAATCAAAATTGATGAATTTTTGTGTAGCCATTTTAATATTGAAGAAGGAAATAAATACACATTTTCAGAATATTATGCTTTATAATTTCAAGAAAGGTAAAAATGCAACTGAAATGCAAAAAAAGATTTGTACAGAGTATGGAAAAGGAGTTGTGACTGATTGAACATGTCAAAAGTGGTTTGTGAAGTTTTGGCTGAAGGGTTCTCACTGGACAATGCTCCATGGTTGGGTAGACCAGCTGAAGTTGATAGCGATCAAATTGAGACATTAATTGAAAACAATTAACATTCTACCATGTAAGAAATAGCTGAGATACTCCAAGTATCCAAATCAATAAAGTTATTGGTGAAAATGAAAAATGTGTTTTATTTTATGAAAAGACCTAAATAGACTTTTTGGCCAAGCCAAAATTTTAACAGGGATTGCATTGAATCTGGATATTACTATAGGTAGTAAAGGCATTTCAATGATATTAGTCCTTCCAATCCATGAATAAAGTATATCTTCTTATTTACTTGTATCTTGTTCAATTTCTTTCTTCATTGCACAGATCTTTTAGAGTACAGGCCTTTTACTTCTTTGGTTAATTTTTTTTTCTAGAAATTTCATACTTTCTGATGCAATCATAATGGGATTATTATTTTCTTCTGATCACTCATTATTGGTGTATAGAAATGCAAGAGATTTCTACATATTGATTCTATATCCTGCAACTTTACTTAAGTTGTTTATTAGTTCTCATAGTTTTTTTTTGTGTGTGAAGTTTTTAGGGTTTTCTCTATATAGTATCATGTCATTTTTGCAAATAATTAATTTTTGCCTTTACAATTTGAATGATGTTTATTTCTTTATCTTTTCTGATTTCTGTGTCTAAGACTTCTAATGCTATGTTGAATAGAAGTGGTAATAGTGGGCATTTTTGTCTTTTTCCTGATCTTAGAGAAAAGGCTTTCAGCTTTTCACCTTTGAATATATTAGTTGTGAGTTTGTCAGATATGGCCTTTATTATGTTGAGGTAAGCTCCTTCTACACCAATTTTGTGGAGAGTCTTTATCATAAAAGAATGTTGAATTTTGTCAAATGCTTTCTCTGTATCTATTGAGATTATTATATATTTTTTATACTTTTTTGCTAATGTGATGCACCACATTGATTGATTTATAGATGTTGAACCATTTTTTGCATCCCTGGGATGAATGTCACTTGCTTATGGTGCTAATCCTTTTTAATGTATTATTGTTCAATCTTACATTAATATTAATATTTTATATCCTAATATAAATTTTAATTTTATATTAATCTTAATGTTTTTGTTTTGAGAAATTTTGCATTTATGTTCATCAAGGATGTTGGCCTATAATGTTTTTTGTAATATTGTTATCTGGTTTTGGCATCAGTGTAATGCTGGCTTCATAAAGTGAGTTTGGAACCATCCTTTCTCTTTAATTTTTTGAAATAGTTTAAGAAAAATAAGTATTAATTCTTCTTCAAATACTTGGTAGAATTTACCTGTGAAGCTATCTGGTCCTAGACTTTTATTTTTGGGGAGTTTTTTTATTACTACTTCAATTTCATTGCTAGTAATTCATCTGGTTAGCTTTTGCATTTCTTCCTGGTGCAGTCTTGGAAGATTATATACTTTTAGAACTTTATCCATTTCTTTTCTATTGTTCAATTTGTTCGCATATTATTGTTCATAGTATTCTTTAATGGTTGTATTTTTGTGGTGTTGGTTACAAATTCTATTTCATTTATAATTTTATTTATTTGAGCTTTTCATTTTCTCTTGAGGAGTTTGGCTAAAAGTTTTATTGATCATTTCTATTGTTTTTTTTAATTTTTATTTTGTTTTCACTCTGATCTTAACTATTTTATTCCCCCTGTTTACCTTGGTTTTGTTTGTTGTTCTTTTTCTAGTTTCTATAGATGTAGAGTTAGATTATTTATTTTGATTTTTCTTGTTTCTTGAGATAAGCTTGTACAGTCATGAACTTCAGTCTTAAAACTGCTTCTACTGCATTCCATAAATTTTGAAAAGTTGTGTTTTCATTTTCATTCGTATTAAGATAGTTTCTGATCTCCTGTTTGATTTCCTCTTTGAACCATTGGTTGTTTAGTACCCTGTTGTTTAGTCTTCATGTACTTGTGTGTGTTTGTGTGTTTTGTTTTGTTTTGTTTTCTTTCTATAGTTGCTTTCTTGTTTCATGCCATCGTGGTTAGAAAAGATGCTTGATATGAGTTCAACTTTCTCGAATTTATTAAGGCTTGTATTTGGCCTAATATGTGATTTATCCTGGAGAATATTCCACATGCATTTGAAAAAAATGTGTATTCTGCAGTTTCTAGATAAAATATTCTATAACTGTCTATTAAGTCAGTCTCATCTGATATGACACTT